GAGAGAGAGAGAGAGAGAGAGAGAGAGAGAGAGAGAGAGAGAGAGAGAGAGAGAGTATTTGGGAGAAGCAGCGGACACTCGAATGCAGTTGGCGCAGAGTAGCCGCAGAGTAGTATCAGGCACAGTAGCAGTTAGTATTCAAGCATCAGTGGTATGAAGAACTATGAGCTATGCTCGTGTCTTTGTGGGGGTTGTCTTCCCGCTGAAACAAGGTTACTAGGCAAGAAGCGATACTCACCCATCCTTGTGGACGATGGCGCCAGCACGGCGATAGATGTTGTCGCCAAGCTTGATGAGGTCTATCACCGGAATTCGATCGCGGTGCCCGTCGAGATAGAAGTCACACTCATCGAGTGGACGCCTAGGACATCCCTGAACCGCAACAGCCGCTGCGAGCACACAGACAGCAAGCACAATGCAGCGCATCTTCATCATGGTTGATAGAGTTTAAGTTTAACTTTGTGGATGGCAATGGCTGAGGCAGTACTGCTGGCAGCAGAAGGGATGAGACGACCGCTGCTTTCAGGCAGCCTGTGGGGAACAGTGCCGCTAGCTCTGCTTGAACCGAGTTGGATATGGAAGTCTGGTTCTTGAGATGCAACTCCCTCAGGCTCAGCTGCACCAGGCGGCGCTCTACGACTCGTGTGTCTCTTCTCAGTGCTGACTGAAGTTCCTTTATATGCGGGATCCACTCTTGTAAGACTGCGAAGGGCCCAGGGAGTAACCGTGCCATTTGTCCGGGGACATGGGACCCCTGCTGCTTCAAAGAGAGGGTAACCTACCTAGTTTAGAAGTCACTGCAGTTTCCAAGTTTCAAAAAGGTGGTCACTTTTACTCAAGGGAGGGTTTTAAAAAGTGGTCACAAAGGGGTCACGTGAACACCTCATTTCAATTTCGATTTCCCATAGCTTCCCGCCCCCTCCTCCCCCCCTCCTCTCTTCGATTTCGTCTATCTGTTCCATCTGGTCTGTATGTCTGCAGTTCATCATGTTCATGCGTGTACAAACTAAGCTCCCTCAGTAACTGTTGGGGAATTGCTTAAACCGCCCCTCCCCCAGCCACTAGAAACTTCGGTGGACCAAAAAAAAAAAAAAAAAAGAAAACCTTTGGTGGACTACAGTAGTAGCAGTGGTTAATGAAGGCTGTAGTGTGGAGAACCGCAGTGTGGCAAAAATGGAAAATGCATCAGATTGCGCCACTCGGTTATTTCACGGTCAATTTTTATAATTTTTGTTTTTTGAATTCTTCTGACCACGAGAAATCATTAAAGTTGGCAGCGCCCCTCAGACAGCCAAGAAATCCAGTTTCTCCTTTTTTTTATTTTTTTATTTTTTTTGCAAAGCATCGTTCCGATTGTCGGGAGGAGCTACAGTCACGATGGCACCCTGGGGCCAAGTCCCATTACCAGCATTGACTTTCCTCAATGCCCGCATCTGGAGGAGTTTGTGCCTATGTGCGGTTGAGCTTCCTCAACCCTATTTCGGCACATCTCCACAAACACGTCCACATTCAGTCGTTGCGGAAACTCAACCTTCCTAGTGGGACTTGGCCCCTGGAGTCTCTGGACATAAAGGGCGTCGTTCGACACTCCTCGGGGACGCGATTCCGAGGATTCCGTCGTCGTTCCACCTGTCCTC